GCACTTAAGCACATTATCTGCATACCACAGCCTCACTCAGGGGCACTGTTAGAGGGAGGGTCAAAACTTTCAGAGGGCCCCAATTTGAAGGGGACCCTAAACTGAGTCTCTCATTCTTGTTTTTATAATTTGGTCATCATTTACAGTGATTTTTATATAAGTTAAATGAAAAAATTGAAGAGCAAGAAATAAAATGGAAAAGTTTGTTTTGCATTCTGGCTGTGTTAACCTATATGGGGTGACATTGTGGTTCACAGCTATCGTACTCAGGGCTTAAAGCTTATCATCTTAAAACAAAGGTCATGTGGGTGATTTTATGGGGGTGAGTGTGGGAAGGAGGCGGTAAAGATAGAAAGGAAAGCAAGAGGGGTACAAGAGCAACATCAGCCAAATTACACTAAGAGGGAATGGACATCAAAGAGGATAAGATGTGGGAGGAGCGACAGAAGAGCTGTCATATAAATCTGAAGCCTTTTAGATAATAAGCTGAGAGGCAAATGGAGAAAATGAAGAGTGAAGACTTGTCACTTAACCCCTATGTTAAGCCGTCCTCACGTGGAAATAGCTGCCACCTCTTTCATTCAATCTCGTCACAGGCCTCTTACCCAACTCTGTTTTTATGTCCAGCACTTCACCTCCCTTCTTCTTCCATCATCCATCCATCCAATGGGCCTCCTCTCCTCCACCTTTGGTCACTGTCCACTGGGTCGTGATGAGAGGCATGTTCAGGCAGGCCCTCTCAAAAGGTCCATCTTCCCTTTGAGGATGATTACTTTAATCCACAAATCAGAAGACCCCATGAAGTTGCTGGTACTTGCTTGTGAGAATATAAGAAAGAAGAAACAAATTAGATTGACAAAGTTGCTGCTTATCAAAATGTCACTGAATAATCCACAGATTTAAAGAAAGAGTTTGAACTGATAATGATTGGATTTTCCCAACCAATCCAATCATGACTTCATTTGTGCACACAAACAGGCAGGCAAATGTGATACTTGTATTAGGTAACTCACAAAAATGCATGCAGCGATCAGCAGCACACACGCAGAGAAACACTCACACAGCTGTGTTATTAAGCTGTGTGCCCCACAGGTTCTCAGAAAGCACTTCCATTAGGACCTCATAGAGCTGTAGTGCACTTCTGAGTAATACCTGTCACTTCTGTTGGAGCTGTGAATGGATACATTACTTGGCATGTGTGTCATTACGTTTTTGTGAAGGAATTATCACAGCAAAGCGCTTTACAGAGAGGGAGAGGTTCTTCTTTTTGTCTAGTGAAGCATCATTTTTCTTCATCTCTATTTTCCCTCTAAGCCTATAAATCCTACTGTTACATATTACGTCAGGCAATGTTTGGTTTCTACACACCTGGAATGTCGTAAATCATAACTACAGTAGCAATAGTATTTTTTCAAGCAGGAACATAACTCTAACATATATTTAAATACATTTTGATCACTAGATGTTATCTGTTATAGCTGATGTACATTTGGAATGAGAAGTGTCAAAATAATCACATTACAGTTTACATGTGTCCTGATTAAACAGGTATTAATCTCATCTGGGTTAATGTTTGCAAGTTCTGACATGATTCATATTATGCTCTCTAAAACAAGATAAATTATCCGTGTCCGCTGCTAGAAATAATGTTGCATCAACAACTTTTTTTTTATTTCCAACATAATTCTGGTGGATGCTCCCCAAGTCTGAATATACCTTTGGACTGAATTAGCTACAGTATACTTCTATGATGATTTTTACCATAACTTTACTGATTAAGTTATGTACTTGCACTTACAAGTGTAAAAGTGTCAAGTAAATTGCTTTACAAATGTAGTTTGCAAACGACAATTTGGTCAATTAATTTCTCAGCTTGGTAGCTCAAGTATGCTACAACGCTGTTGCTAGGGGAGCTAAAAGAATAAACATTGTATCTCTTTATCTTCTTGGCTAAACTATTCTGTCATTTACACAAAAATCAAGTCACTGGCTTATAGGTGACCAATACAGTTGGGAAATGTACACTTAGGTTATTATGGAGGCATATTACATGTTAATGTTGTTCTACATTAGTCCTGTATTAAACAGAAGAAGCAGACCAGGCAGGCACCGACAGATGCGCGTGGATACGGACGTGCGGTAGCCTAACCGTGTTCGTGTTTGTAAACTGTAAATCTCTTCACAGTTCACTAAACATGACAGAGGGAGGAAAAGTCTGATGGATGGAGTGAGAATCGTGAGAAAATAGATGGGAGGATAAGGTCATGTGTTCCCCAATCAGCAGGGGGAAGAAACATCTGACTTGAGGGTAAAACATGGTAGCAGAGTATTTTGTTTACGGAGGAAAAGCAAAATTGGGAATGCAATATGTAAATGTCTGCAGTGTTGACAGAAACCTTGAATTTTTTAACTTGCTGCAGATAAACGGAGGTCATTTTAGTTGAAACTAACGTTGACATTTGGTATGCTTATTGTTTGGAAATCATGGGAAACACAGTGTTCCCATGATATTTACATAACAAAAAATTCACTTCGGCATACAAAGGAAAGAAGAGAACAGAGAAGAGTCACGCAAATTTGTTTTTGATTAAATAAATAATGTGCTTGTAGAGCCAAAGCAGATGTTAAGAGTGAGAGACAGGTGCATGCAGCAGGTGTTCTGAACCAATAGGAAGTCATTATTGAAGCTTGGCCCGTTCATTTGCCTATAAACACAATCAGCAGATGTTGAAACACACAGCTAATGGAGGAAAATATTAATTCAGGTCAAGTTGACTTTTCTTTTCTTGTTATAACTCAGTAAATCTGTAAATACAGCTATAATAAACTGAATTACACTTTTTGATGATATTATTATTTCTGGTTATTATTGTGAATCAATCCTGTGAAACATAACTTTCCTTAAAACCTCAGAACCAGGCTGATCATCGTCATGTTTTTGATTCAGAAATAAAATGTATGGAAAATATGACTGTTGGATCCAACACCTTCGATTAAGAAACAGACTGCACAATTTTACAATTCTTTATATGAGGCTTAACAAGCATATTATAATAAATAGTTTGGCATTTCATTTAATCTGCAAGCGCACACAAGGCAGATGAATACAAGTACAATCCCTGACACAGAGACTATAGAGACTTTGCCTGGAACAGCTGATTGAAACTCTACTCTTTTTATTTCATCTGAAACAGGAATCCATCTGCACAGAATGTTGTAAACAAGATGCAAGAGAGGCTGCCTCAGGTGCTGTTATCTCCTTTTATGTGCTTTATTTGCGTCTCATTCTTTCTCTTTTTGAAACAAACAAACAGAGACTGATACTTTAATAAAACAGAAAGAATTCCCCTCGCAGGACAGAGAGTGCTGGACAGAATTCGCTCTGGGCCTGACCACGGCTCACAAACATGGGCCAGTGCTCCAGAAGAATGTGCCAGAAATAGAAAAAATAATGTCTGTAATATCATCTTAAATGAAGTACACCAGGCTTGTTTGTCCAAAAAATATACTTTTTGGTGGGTTTTACAATACGTCGTTTTTTTATAAAAAAATAGGAGACACATTTTAACTGGATTACTCAGATAAATAGCTGCTTAAAATTCGATGAAAGTATCATAAATGAATGTTATTTTGAGGAAATAAAAGGCACAGGATGACACCAGGGTTTAAAAGGGACAAACAGGACATTGAAAATGACAAAGAACTTGTGCAGATTGATAATTCTCCATTATAATTCCAAATAGGTGGATACTGCATTATTCTGTCCTGTATCAATATTTAATTTTCCCATTACAGCTGACACCCTGAGTGATGCTGCCAGGTGGAGGCAGTGAGGATCATGCAGGAAGAATGAGATACAACCATCCATCTGCGATACGAAAAGGCATCCAACACAACCATATGTTCTCTGGAAGGATTTTTTATTGAACATTAAGTCCTATTTCCATGCATCACGTTCTTGAGAAACATCATGCAGCTGCTGTTTTCTACACGAGTGGCTGAATGTTAACCACCTCATTTCATCATACCAAAAAAATAACAACATATCTGTGAGAAAAGCCCCTAAAAAGTCATTTGGAAAAATCCGCTGACTGTTTTTTCTGTGTTTGGATTGCAAAACTCCATGAGATCCTCGCTCATAGACAGTTAAATAAAGCAATTTAGCAGTTAGTGCATGCCAGAAATATTACAACCATATAGCAACCCCTGTATGTGAGTGTGCCTGTGGACTGTAAAGTGTATTTTTGCAGCGCTGTTTGCCAAGCATGACGGGCACCTTGACTATATCCCATGATGGATGAAACTCACACCAAATTGCTGATGACACAGGGCCTCCCACGCCAGCTGGCAGGGGCACATCGCACCCTCTACATGTCACAACCCCAGGGTCGGCTCATCTCCATATCCAGTAGTTTCACCTGACACACTCAAGGCAAACAGTAATGTTAAACCAACTGCAAACACAAATAAAAGCTTGTGCAGACATGAAAGAATAAATACATCAACTAAATCACACGCATGCATGTAAAGACACGAGATACCACATGATAAAAGAGGCTGAACCCTGCGGCATAGAGAAATTACTTATATTTTCTCGCTGACTCAGAGTGCTGGAAGACATACAGGATCAAAAATAAACACTCAATATCAGAGTTTCTGTATAGAGACACCTCCTAAAGTATGTGTGAGGATGTTTTGTTAGTGTGTAGGCAAAAAGCCATCTCACCAAAGTTGCCAAAACAGAGTTGCCATGACTTTAGCTTAAATATGTATGGTTCCTGGAGGATAGTTCTTAACTATTTCATGTCACTTGTATTCAAATTGTATCCACATATTTGAATATCTGTTTGCATCAGACCACCTTTATAGAACTAGTTCTCCAATAGCAGTAACAGACTTTCTCTCACACTCAGACACACAGCTTTCTTTATCCCGAGTGACATGCCACTTCAATTCAATCAAAACCAGAGATCTGTCGAACTAAAACACAAAACTATCCATCACTTCAGCAGTCTGGTCTTTTTAACTACATAAATATACACCTACACAAAAGCACACATTAGTGTTATCAGAGCGACGAGTTCTTTCCTTGCTCCTGGTTTAAGGCTGATAGTTCAGACCACCCCTTCTGAAAGTCAATGAAATGTAATCCAGCTGAGGCACCTATAGATAAACACACAATCACAGATAATTACCGTCCTTTTTTAATGCCACCATCGTGGTTAACAGATATTTAGATTAAAAACAGATGAGAGTGCTTACAATAGAAAAGGATCAGTTAGACTGTAAGTGCTTCACTAATTGCTCTGTTAATAGCAAGCACTGTTTTGAAAGGGTTGAAAGGCCACTCTACCACATATACCATAAACAACAAGCATAAAATGAGCTAAATACACAACTAAAATAAAATAAAGAAAACACATTAACCTCCGCTTTCTATTTTCTGAATACTAGTAGCTTGAGTAGGTTAAATATTAAGTTTGGAGAAGTTTGGATTTATCAGTCAGCTATTTCTAAGACTTTGTTGAGTTTAACACACACACACACGCACACATTGATGATTTTATGAGTTCCAAGTAATCCCACTTTATTAAGAAAAGTGAGAGTGTGTGAGAATGGCAGCCTGGCGTATGGGAAGGACCGGTGTGGCTTGGTTAGTATCGTTGCCATGGCGCCAAACTGACGACAACCTCAAAGCCTCCAGCAGTCTGTGTCTGAGAGCAGAGGAACGTCCTTCAGTTACTCCTTTAAAGGGTTCACCCAAAGACCATATACATATTTCTCATCTTACCATATAGATACAACTAGATTGGGTTTGGTGTGAGTTGAATAGAGACGTTCCCTCCTCTCCATCACAATGGAACTAGACGGCACTCGTTGTGCTCAAAGTGGAAAAAATAGCATTGAAAAACTAAAGAGCAATGTGTCATGACCAGGTTAGTATGTAAGAACTATTTTCTCTCTACCAAACCGCATAAATCAATAAGTGAATGCAAGTAGATGCAAGCTTCCTTCTGCGAGGTGATTTGGTGAATAATAGTCCCACAGGAAACCAGGTTATGATTTCTGGAAAAAGACATGGGTGTTTAGATTCTTCTAAAGTATTTTTTTCCGCCTTGAGCACCACAAGCCGAGTGCCATCTAGTTCCATTATATTAAACAGAAAGCAGTCGATTATATATATCTAAATAGCACAACAGGTAAGAGGAGGGGTGAACTGTCCTTGAACATCCTGTGTACAAAGCTGTGTACAAAGCTTTTCGTTTGTTTGCCGGTGAATAACAGTTGTTCATAGGTTCAAGCAGTGTGAGCACTTCTTCATGTCTCTCTGTACCTGACCATCAGAGCTGCGTCCGTGGACCCTTCCAGCCATGGAGGCAGGTAGATGCTGGGATACAGAGCGGAGGACTGACTCCAGAGCCAGGACAGACGGTCGTTCTGCTCTTCGGTTCCTGCATGGCAGCGTCCTGTGTAGCTTTGATCTAAACACAAGTAAAACACACAGGCTCAGTTCTTATCATCACCATCATGAACTGCAACAATGTATTACAGTGTTTCTCAAACCTGTCTTTTGCTTGTGATTATTATAGCAGGCAGGGAAACCATAAAACCCCCAGAGTCCCTCGGGGCGATGTGTGACCCCCATTCGAAGCGTCTCCCCCATGAACCTCCGAGCACTCTCCTCAAACGTCTTCTTTGCCAACAATGTCGTTTCCCTTTCTGACAAATCTGGTTTCTCCTGTCTCACCAGCAGCTTAGACTGCCTGCGATACTCCATCTTGGTTCCAAAGTTTCTCTCCCACAATGGCCGCCAGTCTTCCCAGTCGATAACAGCTAACCCGTTGAAGTTTGGCTGCAGAGAGGAGGACATCTGCGACAGCGCCAGGGAGAGGTGAGCCGAGAGGTCGCTGAGCTGAGGGATCCCTCCGTTGACCTTCCCCCCGCCTCGGGAGAGGTAGGGGTATTTCCCCAGGCGGTCGCGGTAGAAGATAGTCATTTTCTAGAAAAGTAAACATTTGAAACTATTAGCTTTTAGTCTCTTTTAGCTTGTTGTTTTGGTTTTATGTCACATTTAGCTAATTAGCCTTAGCCTCCTCACCAACCTTTATTTTACAGCAGCGGGCACATTTATTCAGCATGAACTGCCCTGATAAATTGGTTTAACTGCAAAAATACAACATCCTAGCCATCCAGATCATTTCCATTTAGCATTCAGCCATAATGGAGCTGAAAGAGGCAAGTGCACAGCTAAAAGCAAAGGCTATATCTTTTAGAGGCCAAATGATACTGAGGGATAATACCCAGCCAGGAACACCCTGCTGCCGTCTGGCAAGAATTGAAATGTTTGTTTGCTCATTTAAAAACATATTTGTATATCACATGCAACCAATTTGTAATATTTAATTAATTTAAAGATCGAACCAATGGGTGAAAAATATATTGCAATAGTCATTTTCAAAAGTACTACTGCAAAAGCAGTTATTGTAATAATTACAACCAGAATGTAACAGCAGATCAGACTGTTCCCATTAACCTTATTTATAGCAATGGCAGACACATGTAAATACTAAACACTTCAAATTGAGTCATTTAACTCAAGAATATGTTCAGAGTGGACTGGGGTCAGTAAAGTGGGGTCACTGTACTTCACCCTCTGGGGTCACCTGTCCCAGGAAGCGCTGCTCTCGGTTCTCCACGATGTCGAAGGCTCTCAGGTCCAGGTGGATGTTGAAGCGTGAGTGACACTGAGCTGTGGGCAGGTTCCACACCACAACAAAGGGCCGCTGCTGCAGGATCGAATCTGCTGCTGCAGCAGGCAAGGGGTTGTGGGGGTCTCCATGGGGGGAGGCCGGGGACAGAGGGGTGAGAGAGAAGAGGAGGAAGAAGGGGTGAGGGAGGTGAAGCAGCACCATGGCTGCTCAGCCACTGACGGGTCCTTCCTGACAGGAGAGAGATTTCATATGAGGAACGGTTCTGCCCTGGGTTCAACAAGTCATAAACACATACTGTTGAAATTGGGCAGCCCATAATAGTTTATTTTTTGTTTAGCTAATTCTAACTCCTTGTAAGATTATATTTGATTAATAATAAACATTAGGTGTAGTATAGGCGAAGAAAGACAAATGTATAAGTTTATAAATCCTTTTTATTACCAGAATTGTGATGAATTACACTCATCAACATGAAAAAGTGATTTTAAGAACGTTTCAGTTCTCTGGCAGTTCAACAAGGCACAGTGATCCTCATGTTCAAGATTACAGTTCCACATGAAAACATCAAAAACAGTGAGTGGTTGGTTGGGATAAACCAAAATATGTTCTAAAATATGTTTTACTAAGCGTTCACTCGACCTTTGTCACAATCCATGTCTTTCAAAAGATTCCCTCAAGAGAAAACAGTTACATGCAGTAGATATTTAAACTCATTAACGCATCCAGAATGTATTCATATGGAAATCTTAAAAGTGTAATTGCTGGAAACCAGATGTCTCCTACTTCCCAAATAATTAACTATCAGTTTATGTGACCTCAAGTCTCGACCTCAAGTCTCGACCTCACACCTCTGTAAGGTCGCCTTTTGGAGACTGACTGGCCGGTAAACTAGTGTGATGCCATAACAGATATCCTAAAGACCCAGTGACAAATCGAGGGAAATCAAATCTGAATGGTTTGATGAAGATTTTCATATTTCACAGTCTGTGGGTTGGTAGGCAGGACTAATTTCTCTCTGAATTGTTCTACACCCTGTCTTCTTCCATACATTTTTGTGTGTCTGAGAGACCATTAATAGTGAGTGAGGTTTTAGAATTTGTATATGTTTCTATTGATGTGTGCACATATACACAAACACGTATGAATGCAGCGGAGTGTGTGTTCGTCAAATGTCTTTGAGCATCCAGTAGATAGGAACTCCTTTAGCGTCTCTGTAGGGAGTCTCAGTCAGAGTCTGAACTACAAGCTGCCCTGCAGACTGAGGGGGAGGAGGTGGGGGGGGAGGTATCGATGAAGGTGGTGGTGGACAAGGTGGAGGAGGTATGGAAGGAGGTGGTGGAGGACAAGGAGGTATGGAAGGAGGTGGTGACCCCACAACACAAGCACTGTGTGGTACACGAGCCTCCATCTTTGTCCGCGTTTGCTCTTGTGTGTTTTTCTCTTGACCCGGCATTCTGGAGAACCTCAAGAGCGTCTCCATGGGAACAAAGAGAGTCATGGCACCTGCGTTCTGCACGGGCGTAGTCAGCACGTACCCCAGGTGGGCGTAGAAGTCCTGCTTATCGTGGGTGGTCAGGTACAGGCGCTTGAACCCTCTGCTGTTGGCGTAGCGCTCCGTCTCCTCCATCAGAGTGCGGCCGTAGCCCCGCCCCCGCTCCGCCCTGGACACCACCACTGACTCCAGGAACAGGCTGCTGCTCCGACCCACCACCCGGGACAGCCGGGCGTGGCCCAGCAGCCGCTCGGCCCCTCTGTGGCCCCGCAGGAGAACCAGGCACACAGGGAACTCTGCGCAGGACTTCTGGAGGGAGTGGAGCCGGGCCGCCTGGCTCCTCCGCCACTCGGAGTTCACCAGGTCAGCGCAAGACCCCAGGAGGTCCGGTCGCCGGTGGATCGGAACCGCGTGGATCTTCTCAGAGAGCTGCGTCTCTTTATCTTCTCCATCCAGGGGGGAGTGTGTCGGACAGTCCGGTTCAGACCTGTCAGGGTTGAACTAAAGTCAGTCTGTGTTCAGTGTCAAATGTTAGCAAATACAGATGTTAGCAAATGGTTGCAACATGCAGTTCTTCCATGGTGTGGTTGGTCTGATTACATCACAGTATGTTTTACACAACAGGAAGTTGAGTTGAGATTGTTGTCTTGTAAAATGGGACAGATGAACGAGACGTTTTGTGCAGGATAATCATCCAGTGTTCTGAACGTGCTGCTGTAAGCGGAGACACATGACACAGCAGGATCCAACTAGAGTGTTGATCTCCTGCAGATCTCACCCAACGCTCCCTGTTTCCACTGCAACCTTTACTGCCCTTCAGTTTCTGTAATAGACTGCTACAGTAAGCCTTGATCATGGACACTGAGGAGGACAGGGTGAGTGTTCAGGAGAGAGACGTTGACTATGAAGAGCAATGAGAGCGATGTTCAGTCACAAAACCATGCAAAACAGCTCTAGAGTAGGGCTGTAAAAAACGATTCATGTCGTTATAGAATAATCTGACAATGAATTACTCGATTAATGTTGGTAAGTACAATTTCAAAACATAGTAACAAAATGACCCATCATTTTTGAAAAAGGTCATTTTGAAATTGCTTGTGCTGTCCAACCAACGGTTCAAACCCCGAAAGACGTTCAGTCTAATAATATAGCGACTAAAAAACACAAGTAAGTAGGTTTCATTTAAGAAATACTTCAATAATTAATCAATTCAATCAAGTTAGTGTTTCTGCTCTACTGCAAAGCGCATGCCTTTCTGAGGACTTGATTGAATATTTAGGTACATTTAATATCTACTTTAAAAAGCACTGGGTTCATGAGAAATACACACTTTTTGCATCTTGGCAACATGTGTCCTGCACAGTGAGTATCAAAGTTCCCTATGAGCTCACACACAGCTGACGAGTAAAGCAGAGCCTGGTGTTACAATAAGATGTAATAAATAATTGTGTTACCCTTTGAATGTTTTGATATGTTATTGTCAGAGTTCTGTTATATCTCATGCAGATATGTTTTGTGTGTTTATTGGTTTAATGGAGTCATCATCTTGTCTCATCAGTCTGAATGAGGAAGTGGCTTATATCTTACACATCTCACCACAGTTTCTTGAGAAGGCTGAAGACATCCATAAAAACTAGTTCCTGATGCATTTACTTATCTGCAAATTATTCAAACAAATACTATTTCTATGCCTATTTTCTTGTTTTTTTGTTCATAAAAAACGACTGTGATGGATTCAAACTGAGCCTTCCTATATTGAAGTTATTAGACCACGATGTTAAAAGTATGCTTGAAGCACAAAGTGACACAACACAATGTAAGAGATAGGGTGTAGCCATTGGCGTCACTTTGTTTGAAAAAGTGGTGGGGACACTTTTTCAGATAAAAAAAACACCTCTGCATTAAGCGTCCCCCCCGCGACAAAAATACATACATATGTTTACAATACTTCCTTTGACAACTAGTGCAGTAACAATGCTACGCTGCTGCATAGCGGGAGCAACAATTGCTTTTCTATTCTCTATTCAATTATTACTAATATTAAACACGTCAGTTGTCACAGATCCAAACTTCACCACTTGGGTTAACATAAATACACCCAAAAAGGGAAGTGAACAGTCCTTCAGGTTGTACATGTTCTCTGGTGGAAATAAACTAAGTGTACAATTCTTTGTGCACGCTATTCTCAGAACATTTTAAAAAGAATGATCCTAATGCAAAGTAGTGGGGACATGTCCCCAGCGTCCCCAGGTATTCATTATGCCTATGGTGGCAACAGTTAATATCGCTAAGGCCTAAATAACTTGGTTGACTAGTACAATTAATCAGCCCTTCAGTAAGTTAAGAGTCTCCAACTATAGGCCTTAAAATCATCTTAAAGAAGCAGATCACAGAGCTGAGTTCATAGGTGAAGAAACACTGAAGAGTGTTTAAGTGTTTAAATAAGAAACAATACCAAATCAAAAAAGGTTCATCAAAATTGTTAAAATAGTCTGTGTAGTGTTTGGGAAACACAGAATGAAAACCCACCAACAATAAAAAACAAACAAACTCACCGAGAGAGACAAGATGAAGCTGAGCACCTGACAGACAGCTTTGAAGCTGGTACTCAACGAAATGTCACATTCTCACAAAAAAGGGATGTTGAAAAGATTGAACAGGAAACTGGACACTGTTTGATAATCACAGCAGGTGATCTCGAGGTTTACAAAAGAAAAGCACAGCTGTCACTTCTAACAGCAATGATGACTTCAGTGTCTGAAGGTGTTGCTGTGAGCAGCTACATTGAATTCAGCCATCACTCATCACAACACGCGGGAGAAAAGACCGTTTGAGCTCTTGAGCAAGTTCCTCACATTCTTATCTTGTAAAGCCAAACAAAAATCTACAATGGCAAATTTGACATTAGCCTACTAAAGGTGATTTTTATTGAATTATCTTAGCCAATAAATAAATGTTCTTTAATATGTTTGTATTGAATGTGGTTTCTGCTTGTCTTTCTCCTCCCTGAGCTTTGTTTTTCCAACATGTAGCTCCAAAGCAACTGGTGTGGTATGTGGTGAACTACTCACAGGGGATAGAATAACCCATTCCATTGACGACGGTAAGAACCTATCATTTATTTTTCACAGCATCAGGAAGCCCCACTTACGCAGGGCATCAAAAAATTGTTTGAAACTCTTATTGTTCCTCTCCACGGAAATCTTTAGTAAAAGGCGAAAGATTTATGCGCTCTGAAGAGAAACAAGAGTGTACTGATGAATAAGCGAGCGAGCAAGGCTCCCTATTCCCCGCCACAGCTCCCTTTGTCACGGTGTGTGTACAACTTTCAGAATAAATACCGGGATGTAGGGAATAACCCAGCATTGAAATTAACGTTAGAGTGCGTAATCATTGGACAGATCACAGGAGGGGTAGAGATACACCCTGGAAGTAGTACAGGGACAGACTCTTTTCGGTGGATGTTTTTTTTTGACAATTTAGGAAGCCCCACATACGCAGGGCATCAAAAAATTAGTTGAAACTCTTATTGTTCCTCTCCACGGAAATCTTTAGTAAAAGGCGAAAGATTTATGCGCTCTGAAGAGAAACAAGAGTGTACTGAAGAACCAGGGAGTGAGCACCCTATGATGTTCCCCGCCATAGCTCCCTCTGTCACGGTGTGTCAATAAATATTTCGAAGAAAATACCAACCGCATTGTATCAGAAGGAAAACTAAAGTTTGTTTCGTCTAACTCGTCTATTCTATTTCTATTTATTCTATTTATACTCGTCTGTTGCATTGCAACGTTTTGAAGGAAATACAAGTGTTTGTATGATGAACGTTTAAGATAGCAAGTGCACGCTATGCATTATGGGAACATGGCCCCCACGGTTACGCCCCTACTTTTTCAACATCTTTTACTTGAAAAATGCCATTGCTTATCAATACAAAACATTATGATTGGGCTTTGTTTGAATGAAGCCAATATTTTATAACATAAGAATAGCTCTCTTTTTTATATATTTCGATAAGAAACTGCTCGCCTGCATCAAACAATCCAAAGATTAAACGCATCAAGATAGTTGTTGCCTTCCGTTCCGTTTAAGCTAGTATGTTCATTTGAAACATAATGATAATAATGATAATAATATTCCTTCTGAACACCGTCTGCTTTTCTTTTGACGAAGTGTCTCCATACTATGAGTAGACCCCAGACCCACTTCTAAATATGGGATAAGTAACATGTATCAATATTGAGCTTGATCTATCAGAGCTTTGTAACTTCCACTCAGAGTTGTCATACTGTAATCATCGTCCTTTTCAAATGTTTTACAGTAACCAAACCCACTGTAAACTTGTGACAGTAAACTTAAACATGCGATTTATAAAAGTGAGTAAGACACACACATCTCATACTTATATAGAATATAAAACTATGAAATAATACAAAAATATAGTCGCCTCAACTAAGATGAGAATGTCCTATCTTTGCATGCCCTAGACTAAAATGAATGAAACATAATGTTTGAGGGAAGCCTATAAACATCTTTCATTTGAGATATGAAACAATTTGACCAGTTGGCTGCCGTAGGGGAGAAAACAACCCATATGTTGGACACATTGTCCTGTTCCCCTCTTCGAACCCACTATGTACGGTAAGACTACAGCTACAAACACACAGGTGGAACTCAGTGCTACATGCTAGCTAGCTCATGAGCTGACTTTCAGCTTTAGGAGTACATGAAGTGACATTTGTTTAAAATTTGGAGTGACCACAAGTTTACTGTTTGTTAGCGAACAATATGCTACATTTGTGTTTGTTTCTCACTACGTTACCTACATCTTTATTCTCGCGGCTCGTCGCCGGGGCTCTCCCTCCCGTGCTCGTGTTTCAGTGAAAGCTGATCTGGGGTCGGCGTTGATTCCAGCAACGCGGGAACACAGCAGCTAACAATCATCGATGTGAACTGTTCCACGGTCAGTTTCTAACCGTTAATCCTGCCTCTACTGTAACAGGAGGAAATGTTGCTGCTGCGGAATTGTCTGCCACCTAGTGGATAGGAGTGTTACTATATAAGAAAAAGCTACTACATTGTCATTTACTGGTACTTCAGAGTAGGTACAACAGCCCAGCAGTATTTTAAATGTGTATTACCTCTCCTCATCTCTATCTGAATGATTCAGTTTCACTTATCGTGGGTTTCTCTAGCCTTTCGATGGATGATGGAGGAAATCAAAGGCTCAGATGCCATTTGTTTGGTGACACCTTGAAGCAGTGGCGTAACAAGGTTGTGATTGGCCCTGGTGCAATTTTTAATTATTATTTTTTTCTTTGCATGGGCCGGCTCTGGGCCCCCGGTGCGTTGCACCGGCTGCACCTTAAATAGTTACGCCACTGCCTTGAAGCTTGACATCCTCCTGGATCTAAAAAAAATAAAAAAATGTGTCTATAATGTAATTGTACCGTTTGTCTATTCTGTACACACAACATCTATCCGTCTGTCCTTGTATACTAATCCCTCCTTAGTGAGTTTCTCTTTAAATGTTTCTTCCATACCTTTTTCCTTATCCAAAGTGTGGGTTGAAAAGGACAGAATGTGTCATAGGCTGTATACGAGTCCCCGGAGGGACATTTCTGACTTTTACATTACATTTCATTTGCTGACCCTTTTATCCAAAGCGATTTACAGTATGTGCAATAATTCCTGAGGATACAAATGCAAAATGGCTAGAATCCTGCAAACTCATTAGCGTTGAATTAGCCAAACCCTTTTATGCTACAGTACATACAGAAATAAAAAAGTTGTTTTCAGATGTTATTGCCAATACAAATATGGGTCTCAGTCTGCAACCGTATAATTGCAACCCTCAGAAACACACTAAACAGAATATTGTCTTCATGGCACCACATACTGTTGCACTAACATAACAATGGAGTTCAGGCAACAAACAGTGATTATGTGCTTAACATTTGCAGCAAGGCTGTTGTAATGCAAGGTAATGTTTATTGAATCCATCCTATGCAAGTGTAAATATACTGTACCTGAATCCTTCAAAACACATTCTGAAGTTATTAACTGAGTTTGAGTAGAGGTTCAACAAAGAGTCCAGATTTTTAACAAAATGTTTGCTTTATTTTTTCATTTTTTTTTATCCAGGACAACTCATTCAAGGATAATCAAGGAGAAATAAGCACTAATGTTTTTATTAGAATTTTTTTTCAGTTTTTACATTTTTTCAGAGATGGATGGTGAATTTTATCATAATTGGTCAAAGTAAAACAAAAAAAATAATAAATGAATATATAATAACAATACATTAATAATTAATTCAATACAATGAAGTGTTGTGTCGATGATAGAATAACAATGGCCCAGAAAACGTAGGGTTTTATTGTTTTCACTGCTTCTTCTGTGGTACTGCAATAATCACCAGCACTAACTCAACTCAATCAACAACAGTAGAGGAAGAAATGGAGTGCGTTCACAAAGTTCTGCACCCCGGCCTCCCAAAGAGGAAACACTTTTTTTATTTAAATAATATTTTATCAAAGCTTCTGTTTTTTTTATCATCATAAAACGTTTCTAAAACTTATCTGTCTTCTTTAAACTTTCTTTCTCTTTTTTTTGTTGCATTTTTGATACATTTTCCTTTTCAGAGATTTTAAAAGTTTTTCGTCTCCATTTTACCACAATGTGTCAATTTTTGCAAGTGTGGTTGCCTATGTGTATCTGTACCCCTGTCTGTGTGTGTGTGTGTGTGTGTGTGTGTGTGTGTGTGTGTGTGTGTGTGTGTGTGTGTGTGTGTGTTGTGTGTGTGATGTGGCCTTTTCTGAGGCTTGTTGGAACAACCTTGAGTTGTTTAAGTGCTCACATGAATGCGACGCTTGCACGTATGAAGCATGGTGATGTGTTTTTAAACGTGTGTTTGGAGAGTGTGTGTGTGTGTGTGATGTCCTTCTGCTGCTTTACCTGTATTAAGGTCACTGCAGCAGAGAGGTTCATACTGAGAGGTTGAAGCTGGCTCAAGCAACAAGGTGTGTGTGCATGTATGTGTGAGAGTGTTTGTACGCCCTGTGTAAAGCTTATTAGGAGTCTGTATAGCCACTACATGATAGTTGTGTGCGTGTGCGTGTGTGTGTGTGTGTGTGTGTGTAATAGAAGGCACGGAGGGTGGTGTGGGGGGCTCAGTCTCTCAGGTCCATGCTGGAGCCGAACAGGGCCACCAGCTGCTCCTCATAGTGGGAGATGTTCCTCTTCATGATCTCCTTACAGGAACCCAGGAGGCGCTCAAACGCCTGGATGTCTATTACTGCAGAGAGAGAGAAGGGGGAGAGGGGGGAGAGAGATGTTAGGTGTGTCTTAAGCAGATTGTTTTCATTTGTGCGATTCAGGTAGAAATACCCCCCTGGTCCCATCTTAAATGTCCTCACTGGGCCTCAGAGGATCCTTAAAGTCCTGCTTCTTTCATTTGTTCTTTATTAAACAAGGACAATGTGAAACTAAACCTTATTCGCAAACAAAAAAAGAGATGATTTATGCCTGATTGAACTATAAGCTTATATTCATCTACAGTTCCTGTGCAGGTACACAGATAACAATAAACAGACCGTAAAAACGTAACATAGTCCCCATCACACTAACAATTATAGAGACAGATCGTGCATCAACATTTGAATCACATTTAACAGTTAAACGATACTACATATATCACAATTTATTTCAATAAATAACTTATTTTGACAAGACATACTTTCTTATTATGAAACCATTTTCTTAGTGTGATGTTTAGGCCGCTCTTGAAGCAAACTGTTGTGCTCATTTGCTCAAAGTGTTCCCCTAACGGCAGATTAATTGTATACAGTCCTAACATACAGGGAGAATGATACAAGGACAGCAGACAGTGTGTTGCTGCGGGAGGTTTGACTGACAGTTTTCTGTTCCGCTTCAAAGCCGAGCAGCTGTTGGAGACTGTTGTACTGTACACAGAAAGTACACTAAAGATACACAGGTAAGTGTGACAGTGTGTGTTTAATATTGAAGGGGGTAAAAATAGGGGAGTGCTACATCTACTGTTAAAAAATCCTGTTTGAATAAAAAAATAAAAGCGGTACAATTAGCATTTAGCAGACTTCACAACAGAGGACAAAGAGGTGACAGAAAAACACGACCAGCTTTTAAAACTCCTGCGTTCATTTTCAAATGTTAAGTGCTGCTCATCCACTGTAGAGCCTGAATTACAGGAACCACTTAAAAAAAGGCTTAATCACGGCTGAACGGCCTTTAAACAACACGAATACAAGGTGACGAGCCAGACACAAATTGCTTGTAAGAGTGTTATTAGTGGGATATTAACACCACAGGCAGTGTTGTGAGGTTGAGTGGCTTAAATAATGAGTTTCATTTCACTATCACTATATACAAAGGATTTATTGAATCTTTTCAAATGGTAGCTTTTTTAATAATTCATGAACACTGATAAACTCATAACACATCCAAATGGTATATCATATCATTTTTGTACCATCATAAAACGCCTCTAAATCTTATCTGTCTTCTTTAAACTTTCTTTCTGCATTTTCAATTCATTTTCCTTTTCAGAGATTTTAAACGTTTTTCGTCTCCCTTTTACCACAATGTGTCCGTTTATGCAAGTGTGTTTGCCTATGTGTATCTGTAGCCCTGTGTGGTGTGGGATTTATTGAATCTTTTTAAAATGGTAGCATTTTAAATAATGAATGAACACAGATTAAAACACAACACATCAAAATCGTATGTCATATATTCATTTGACATAACAAGGTGCTTCAGATGCAGATATCACATTGTTGGACATCTAACTTTGAAACAAAGCTACATCACATTAGTGTTGATTAGCATCGATGCGGACAGACGTGGTAAACGAGTGTGTCAGAGTGTATTTCTTCTCACCCACTAACTTGACGGGGCCCTCTGCGTAGACGGAGGCGGCCCGGGGCTTGTTGGTGACCAGGGCCAGCTCCCCAAAGTAGTGACCCCTGCTGCAGCGCGTCAGCTCCACCTCCACGTTGTCCGCATGGTCGGCCTTCGTCTGCGGGGGAGAGAGGAGACCGTTAAATGTGAACAACCACTGGGCATCTCGTTTTTCTGTCACCCCGAGCCAGAAGAGCTCAGCAGCTATTGTGATCCACGCTGTTGCTAAGCAAAACCAGGAAACACTTTGACACTCTGGTGGTCTTCACTAGGGAGAGTGGGTTGTTATTGTCAGGATGTGCTGCAAGGGTAATGACTGCTAGGAAATATATGATCAGCTTTTGTGTAGGTGCTTATTCCTGCACAAAAAAAAACGAATTTACAATATTGATCAGCCTCTGAGAACGTTGTGATCGGGCCTGTTTGAACCATTCATTACAGCTGAACAGAAGCTGCTGGGGAAATGGGAATGCAGGGAACAATAAATGCATGTTTCAGAAAGGATAAGCTTTAGTTCTTATAGATTTGGTTTTTAAAGTTATTTTTCATTAGGTATAATGTCTAGATATAGTTTCAGAATAAAGAAATTAAAAATGTAATGTATTGTTATTATATATTCATTTATTATTTGTGTTTGTTTTACTTTGACCAATTATGATCAAATTCAACATCCATCTTTGACAAAATGTAAAAAATGAAAATGAACTAACCTACAAATTCATGCAGACCCCAGTCGGCTAACACGAGCTTATAGATTGCTTAAATGACATTTGATATTTTACAATATTTAAAACTTTTAAAGCAATATCATCTCCTGTAATGGTAAGTCTGATCAATTTCTGTGTTTTAGTGACACGAGAATTTACATTAATTCAGTGTGTGACTTGGTAGTGATCTATTAAGATTTAAAAAATGAAGCTGAAATGAATACGGCTCATTCTTACGTACCAGCTTTCGGTTAAAGACAACTTTTATCCGGTTTGCTCCGAGTGGCTCTTCACTCTCCACTGGACGGGTTGTCTTGGGGAGGAGGTGCTGCCGTACTGACATTTATTGTTTAGTGTTGACATTTTTGTTTTAGCCGACTGGTTTTCTATTTATTTATTTGTGTATTTGTTGTTTGTCTGTTTGTGTATGTCTGTGTGGGATTGTTACTCTACCTAGCTTTCTATAAAGGGAAGATTTGTTTACCTACTTTTGATACATGCTCTGATAGAATAACTGTATGCTGTTGGAAAAACCCAATAAACAAAGTTTATAAAAAAAGAAAAAGACAACATTTATCACAGCCATTTTTGTTTAAATGTCAGTTTTAGAGGAGTGTCTTACTTTACTCTTCATCATGATCTTGACCTCTCCAGATTCTACAATATAGAAGCAGTCGGCTTTCTCTCCCTGTGGATACAAGAAACAGACACCTTGTAGATACATTTCAAAGTATATGTACTTGTATGTTGAAATCCTATACAATTCATATTTGGATGAAACGGTGCCAGGTGTGTCCACGTCTCACCTGTGTGATGATGCGCTCGCCGTCGGGGAACTGCTTGGATCCTAATACATCCACGATCTTCATCCTCTCATTTGCCTGGGACAGGGAGGAGAGACAAACAGGAAGAGAGACCGTGAGAGACATCATTGTTTTATTGACATCAGACATTCCTCAATCCATCACTTCATCTCCCACTGTGTTCTTGTTTCAGACCATTCACCCCATGTGTAGGTTAAGTACATCTTAGCCTAAGTGGTAGGAAAAAAGGGTCAAGTTTTTGGAAGTGTTGGAGAAATAGAATGACATTACACTATATTATATGTAGCATGTATAATTGTCGAAACTTTACTTTTAGCTATTATCTACTAAATATTCATTTCTTAAGTGAGTGTAGAACTTTTTCCATCATCAACAGGCTGGTGGTTAGCTGTGTGGTGGGATCCTGAAAAGAAGACCCTGTGAAGGAGAAATCCAAGAACAACTAAACTCACCTCCAGTGATTTGAGTAAGGGCACGGACTCAATGAAGGTCTCGTACATCTTCCTCTTCTTGGCGTTGTTCTTCAGAATGAGTCTACGAAATGTGGCGCGGTCCTAGGGAAAAAGAAAAAACAGTTAACACACACACGCACCTCCTGAAGCAGACCCTCTCATCCCGTAAGACCGTGCTCGGCCACAGGGAGGCGCTGCAGCTGCGTGAAGCACGGCTCCATTCATAGAGAACAGGACTCCATTCTTAAGAAGTCTGAGCAGCTCTGCTCAATGCACTGCGTCTAGTTACTGTACACAACATGCTCACAATACTATCCTAAGTACACAAGTAGAGGCACAACTGAGCTTTCATATTTACATTTTCTCTTATTAAATTACAGAGCAATTAAAAAAATATGTGGTACTAGTTGAAATGAAAATTAAAACATCTCATAAGCACATTTTATAATTTATAACCTACAAATATTGAAAACTACTCAATTAGACAATTCTTTACTTCTACACAAATGTGTATTCCCTCTGGGGCTTACAGCAATTTATAATCATAATCAGTTAGCGTGTCAAACAAATCCCGTGTGTGTGTGTGTGTGTGTGTGTGTGTGTGTGTGTGTGTCTATTAGTGCGCTCTCACCAGTCCCCATAGTGCCCCTTCATTGGTGGCGACGATAGTGGCGGCACGTGGCGTGTTGTACATGAGTGCCAACTCCCCGAAGCTGCCCTTATTGTTGTACTGACCCACCGTTGTTCCCATTACCACAATGTCAAACAGCCCCCTGGGGAGAGAAAGAGAGAGAGAGAGAGAGAGAGAGAGAGAGAGAGAGAGAGAGAGAGAGAGAGAGTTAGGACAACTGATAGAAAAAAAGACATCGGAAAGGGAACCCAGAAAAATGACGTTGGTTTATTTAATTGAGCCTGATGAAGTGAACATTGTTTTGTTTATTGACCCACTGACAGGTTCTAAATAGGCATCTAATTGCAGCTTATCTGTAGCCTCAGGGCAGCACCCTGTGTTGGACTGGGTGAGAAAATAATTGACTGTTTGTGAGGGTGCAGTAGTGTGTATAAATTGTTTGCATATTTCATGCATTTGGAAGTTTTTACTACAGCTTGTAAAGGTATAGCATTTTTGTAAACATAGTGGTCTACATGTGCAGCGTCAACACAATGTTTTCATGTTGGCATACAACTGTTATTGACAGTAACATGTCAGCAGACCCCCCCCCCCCGTTCTCCTCCCCTCTGTATGAGGATTAAATGTGTGGAGGGTAATTTGCAGCGCTGTAGCGCAGCAGGATTAAACAGTCACTTTGTAACCTCGTCTGTCCTCCCATTGGCTGAGGAGTGGGGTTAAAGCCCTCGTGGCTGCTGTATTAGTATTGACTTAGTTTGACTGGATTACCATGACGATGGGGACGATGACCACTTGTTGTCGTCATTGTGCCTGAATACAGTTAATCGAGTCAATGTGGACGTTATGTAATACTTTAAATACTTCGCGGTTAGATTCTTATTAAAGTACTTTCTCTTCATTATTCACAATACATCTGCTTGAGCATAGAAGGAAACATTAAGAAGAAAGATTGTTTTAATAAACTTGTTTACTTCCTGTTTCAGACAACTCAGTCTGATCGATCCATAGCCTGAGGAAGTTCATTAAATATATTTTGAAATGTAGCACGGTGGCCAGAGGACTAATGGAGAGGAACTGGATGATACACACCTTGTGTTGTTAAGTTACAGCAGATGAAAACATATAAAAAAACACAGAATTCTACAGATTTTTATCTTTCACTGTCAATATGTATATGTTTTACTTTTTAGTTCTGTTATTTTTTCTATTTTGAGATGTTTCTATTTTATGTTTGTTTATTTTCTACTCCTTTTCCTTTACACATTATGTGCAATGTCTTGTTAACATTGTGCTGTGTTGAAAACATTTGATGGGATCCATAAAGTCAATCTTATTTTTTCTTAGACCACATCAGCCTGTTTTACTTAGTGGGTGTTTCTCAATGTCGAGGACGCTTCCTTGGTAGGACATGTCTTCCGAATCACTTGCTTCACAAGCGAGGCAAGAATCCTTCCTAGCCTCGGAAAACGAAGAATTGTGGAACAGGCTAACAGGTGTGCAGGTCTGTGTCATATGCGAGGCCCCGCCTTAAATGGAGCGCGATTTCCGCCAAAGACTTGGGAAATTGGTCCATGCGCAAAGCATTGTGGGGATTTTAAGAACGTGGAGTCTACACATGTGCAGCCTCTAAATGTCTCGCTACGAAGTACCCCGGCAGAATTCCAAGGATCCTGGACATTGGAACTGTCCTTCGGCGGGACTCGATGACGTAGCATCCTTTAAATAGTGGCTCTGGGAAAAACATATATTTGTGTGTTCAGCTGATGACTGACATTATGTAACATGAACGCAGAGGAGATTAATGCATATGGGGGAATTCCCTTATAAAAACATTTAAACAACGTGTTACTGCGTCCTGTTTTCTTTCCTGCTCTTCTTTTTGTTTATCCCTCCATCTCTGTGTGAGTCCGTGCTCACACCCTACCCACCCTGCTGGTGACATTAGCTGCCACCTACGCCTTTTACAGGCCAAGGAAAATCCTGGGATAGTACGAGGGCAGGCTGGCGCGCTGCTTATGAAAGGTCATCGCACATCTCCTGTACACGAAGCACGCTGTCAGAGAGTGTGTGTGCAGATTGAATGATAGCTCATAACAAGTGGAACTAAACTGCTGTGTTGAACTGATATAGGCCGTGCCAAGAATGAATAGAGGCCAGGCTGTTCTGCTTTGGTGGCAGAGGATCAAAACAGCCATCTTAAGGCTTTTTCTAGTAGAAAAAAAGGCTAGCTGAATTACTAGTAATAAAAAGTCATTTAAAAGGATTGTAGCTGGTTAGCTGGTTCTGTGCAGTGAAGTCTCAGGGATCTTCGTGGAAACTTTAATAAGTATAAATTAAAACTGACAGTGTTGTATTTCTTCTTACACAACAAGCATGTTTTTAATTGTGTAAAAGAAGATCCATTTGATTGTTCCTGGTACTTTACATTGTATTCCAGCTGGGTAACTAAACTAAACCTGTCCTGTAAGTCTTGTGTACACAGTAACCGTTTACATTAGCAATATGGCAGGGAAATGACACACAGCCTTCATATGTACTGTATACACGGGCAGACATACACAAAATCATAAAAAGTGCAGCGTTAACCATAACCAACGTGTAAACACCAGTGAAATGGCCACACTGTTGTAAATCTGAAACATTTCTTGTGGGTCCACTAATGCAAATAAATATAAAAGTCTCTGTCAAATTCAATTGTATGGTATTTTACAGACTGTGTTTGGTGGTGCTATATTTGCTTCACATGTCTGTAGTATTTTTACTTGTCTCCACCTTACATGGCTTTACATTATACAAGTGGTACTACTCGTCTGGTCATTCAGTGTAATAGATACGTATCCAACAGCTCGCCTTAGTCTGTTTTTTGTGTACCCTTTCTGTCATCCATGCTTTGTAAACAAACAATATTTGAGTAATCAAATTGCCCTGGCTTTCAGGACCTGACATGAGTGTGTGCGTCCTACCTCTCTATGACGTAGAAGTTGTCTCCGTCGTCTCCCTGGTCGATGACGTGGTCCGTGGGCTGAACCCGATGCTCAAACATGGCGTCCAGCACCTCCGAGAACTGCTCCTGTAGCGGCAGAGAGGGAGGACGTCAGGCACGGAGGATGTGGAGAAACAGTGCATTTATGTGGAGCTCATATCGTCACAAGCTATATGAATTAGCTCATGTGAGTTGCTCCTAAACAAGTTCATTAACACATGGATGAATGAAACATAACAGATATATGGGGTATGGGAAAAGCTTTTGGGGAAAACTGGTTAAAAAAAAATCGTCTTATGCCTAAAGCTAGGAGGGTTTATCAACATAATAAGAACATCATAACATAGGCTTCTATGAATGTAGGCTTTCTTGCAATAAGACAAGTAGATGAAGCCGAGTAGAGAAAGCCTGGTTCATCATACAATGTAAATGAGCATTAGTTATGTTGTTTTCTGAAGATGATTTGTTCACCTTTATAAGACACATTGAAGGATAGAGGCACACAGGGCCGTCCCTGGCCAACATGAGGCACCACGCAAAGTTATATGATGAGGATCTCTGTTTCGCGAGCGTCGATGGGGGAGGGCGCCGCATAAGCGCATAGTTGCGCCGCATTTTTGGCTCAGTTGAGGCTCCCTAAGCAAGATGAGGCCCCCTCCGCAAAGTGAGGCCCCACGCAGTCTGCATGACTAGGGAGGGACGGCCCTGCAGGCACACTACAAGCTGTATTATCTGCCAACACTCTTACGTCATTCAAAAAAATCCCTCAAAACTCACCTTTTCACTCTTGCCTTCAACTCCTAATCCACTAATCCCTTGCCCCTATTCCACCTAGTTTAAAACACTTTTTACTTTTGTTGTTATTTTCCTTATTTACTTGCTTGTAAAGCGCTTTGAGCACCAGGAAAAGCGCTAGATAAATAACATGTATTATTATTATGTATTGGAGAGAGAGGGGTATGAAATGCAGCAGAAGTCCAGAGGCCGAGTCAGACCCAGGACGCTGCGGTTGTTTGGCGTGCGCTGTAACCATACGGCTACCAAGGCTCTCCATGTCCTCTTACGTTAACAAGTACTTCTTTGTACCTTTTCTCTGCAGGTCATGTCGTGAACTCTATTTCTATCTTTTGCAGAAATGTTTTTGTACATATTTATCCTCTGATCTGCCCCAGGAGATGTGTGAAGTAAAGGCATTATACACCGAGCGACCAGGAGGGAAACCCCTGTACTTTGTGGGTGAATCCATAGCAACATTTATGCAGTCAATCCTTCTTATTGTTTGCTGCTGCAGCTGTACTGGATTATATTTGGAAATGTTGCTCCATCATATATACATGACTTGCCAAATACCCCTCAGACATGTGGTTTATTGTGGTGGAGGGTGGGGAAATGAACTAAAAGCAACATTTCTCTCTAGTGGACGAGAGCATTCCTTCATATGAGGTTGCAACCTCCCCCATAATGAACCTCAAAGTGCAAGCACAAAATCTAGATAAGAACAAAGTCAGCCATTGTATCGCTTTATTTCATATGTCAGGTCGAACTAGCTGTCAGATGAAGCTCAAATATTTTTACTCCATACCTTAAAATAATGCTTCATAGTCATTATTATTTATAAAGGCTGCAAGAGATGTACAATGTTTCACTCTTATTCTCCTAAATTAAGCAAATATATACAGTGGGGCAAAAAAGTATTTAGTCAGCCACCAATTGTGCAAGTTCTCCCACTTAAAAAGATGAGAGACCTGTAATTTTCATCCTAGGTATACCTCAACTATGAGAGACAAAATGAGAAAAAGAAAAAAAAAATCCAGAAAATCACATTGTCTGATTTTTAAAGAATTTATTTGCAAATTATGGTGGAAAATAAGTATTTGGTCAATAACAAAAGTTCATCTCAATACTTTGTTATATACCCTTTGTTGGCAATGACAGAGGTCAAACGTTTTCTGTAAGTCTTCACAAGGTTTTCACACACTGTTGCTGGTATTTTGGCCCATTCCTCCATACAGATCTCCTCTAGAGCAGTGATGTTTTGGGGCTGTCGCTGGGCAACAAGGACTTTCAACTCCCTCCAAAGATTTTCTATGGGGTTGAGATCTGGAGACTGGCTAGGCCACTCCAGGACCTTGAAATGCTTCTTACGAAGCCACTCCTTCGTTTCCCGGGCGGTGTGTTTGGGATCATTGTCATACTGAAAGACCCATCCACGTTTCATCTTCAATGCCCTTGCTGATGGAAGGAGGTTGTCACTCAAAATCTCACGATACATGGCCCNTTTGTTGAAAATATCTGAAAAATGTATATGTGACCTGCTCTATCGAAATCCTTTCCAGCAGTGTATACAACTCAAAATGTGTCTTCGGGTCAATGCGACTGATTTCGATAGAGCAGGTCACATATACATTTTTCAGATATTTTCAACAAACTATACTATGCCGTTATTTCTTAAATTGTCAACATTTAAGAAAATGTAACAACAAAAATTGACATGCTACACTATGTTTTTCTTGGGTACTATGCTTGATAGTTTTTTACAGATATTTTCGAGCATACTATACAATGTAGTTCTTCAGAAATCTCGACTACTATACCATGTGTTTTTTTTCACTGTTATTTTCGACATTTAGTTTAAATTTTTTCGACCAAATATACTATATTGTTTTTTCTTATATTTTACGTCTTGCTATATTAATTGTTTTTTTTTATCTGATATTTTCAACATACTATACTGTATTTTCATTCACCCACCTATAATTTGATCCTTTCCATGAAGTAGGGACACTTGAAAAGAGAGTGATTGAACTATACAGGCCAAACAACAAGAAAACTGTGAAGTTCTGTGTTGTTGGGCATCAAGGTGGAGTTATATCGACGATAGATAGCTAATCCCAGACCCATTATGCATCTAATCCCTCCTCTCGGCATGGATCAGCTCCTGCTCACACATTTCCTAACCTGCCTGTCAATCACAAGTTGTCAGTTACCATGATGACGATCTCAACGGCTGTCAGTTGCCATGGCGGCCTTGCCCAGGTTAGTATGCCGCTGTCACGTCAGTTCCTGATGTTTGCTCAGTCATGGGGATCAGATGTTTACAGACCCCTCAGTGTCACCAAAAGACCATGACCTTTGACCTCGAAAACCCTAGATGTTTTAAGGGTATCTGTGTGTCTTCTGTCCATTTTTGTCCGCTTTTCTCTGTCTGCTTTGTTCCCAGGCAGGTTGGTACATTTAGATGTTTACTTGGGATTTGTTTCTGGTAACTATACACCAATTCTGACTCACAACAGCTGAATTTGTCCTTTGTCAACATCCTGAAAGCTTGTGAGAGCTCATGAAAGAACATGGAACATTTTGATTGGCATGTCTTCACACCTAACTCTGAAGAAATGTGAGTAGTTTATGAACTTGGCAGCGAGTTTAAACCTTTTTTCTTCTCAACATGTATTTGTAGCTACAGGACCTGCTTGTGGTTAATGTAACACGTGTCAGCTTGTCAGTTTATTGACTGGGACTATTAATATTGTTTAAATACAGTGTACAGACAGTGTGTGTGTGTGTGTGTGTGTGTGTGTGTGTTAGTGTGTGTGCGTGTTTGTGTGTGTGTGAGCTTACAGACAGGCCCTGACAACAGCAACAGAAAGAAACAAAGACCATTATTGAACTAAAAGCCTCTAGCATTGTTGCTGTAGTGCTCACTTCATATATTCCATGGATAACAAGTGTCTACAATATACTGATGTTTTCAAGGCTCATGGTTAGCTGGTATAATGTGTACCACGTTGACATATAGGCAAGCTAATAGGTTGCAAATGAACTTTTAATGCAAAGTGTAGGTGGGGCTGATGGAAATGTCATTGTCCAGTTACTTTACTTTAAACCTCAGATAATAACCTGCTATGCAATTAAAGGCGTTCTTTTCTGTAAAACCCTTGAGAGCAGAAGCTATATGAGGCAGGAGAACGATTTCAGAGCCTGGGAAGATACAAATTGGGTTGGAATTACTTTAAAGGTCACCTATCATGCTATTTTTAGGGTATAGCATAGGTCTCAGATATATAAACATATATAAAAAACATGTCTATGAAGTGTTTTGCTCAAAATACGAAACAGATCTCCCATTCTAGCCATGCCTCATACTCCTCTATTTCAACCATGTTACTAAAGTGCTGATTCTGTGTATAAAGCTTTAAAAAAAAAGAAAAAAGAGAAGGGCGGAGCTTATGCCTGCTCATGCGGGAAATTCTACCGGCAGATTGTCAGCTAAACACTGCTGTGATTAAATGCCATACAGTATCATGTTCAAAACCACATTAAGGATTATTTCTGACGCAGTATGGAGCTCAAATGCTTGGTTCTGATGTCCTGTTCTGGATTTCCCTGGTCTGCCCTCCTGTGTCCTCCGAGTCTCCCTGGTTTGTTCTTGTTTTTGTTAGTTACATTTCCTTTTGTTACACCTCGCCTTTTGGGTCCGCACTCTTGCCAAACCCTGACATTATGAGGGTCTTTGGCCTGCTGTGTCTGTGTTTACAGAATAAACATGATATCAGGCCCTCGGGGTGTAGAGGCAGGCCTGTGCTCATCTCTTTCTTTACTGCCCTGCTCATCTCTCTGGCCCCTAACCCTTAGCCTTTGACCTTTAACCCCTTTTCATATTTACTGACTGTCAAACAACAGGTTAAACTCAGGGACTGTAGGCTAGTTAAGACAGTGGCATTTAATTTACGGCATATTGGTAAAAAAACTATAATAACTTCCTGATTTGATCAATTCAGTACTGTACTGTTAGAAACTTTAGCTAACATGTAACTAGAACACAACACAAACATATCATTTATAGATTTGAGAAAAAACAGCATATCAATTCATAAAATCGGGATGCAATTTTGACCACCTTTATCAACATTGGGAGGACACCCTTCACATTTGACTCTCTGTTCCATAGTGCTTGTTGTGACCCTCAATCACTTCTCTTCCCTCTTCACATTGAAAGATGAACCCCCCCACCCCCCCTCTTGTTCCACGCGAAGGGAGTTTCGACCGCGCTGCCTGAGGCAAGATTAGCTCACAGGTAACTTCACCCGGGTCCTTCCTCCTCA